TTTTCACCAACGTTTCGGGCCATTTACAGGTCCCATGGTCACGGCTGACTGAGATGGTAAAGTCGTCTACCAGTTATGTCTAACAAACCACCCTGTTGTTACTATGTTTACAAAATTTACTAATTAAATACCTTCTTCTTAAATTTTCCAAAGAACATTCCAATTTACGACTACATATTTAAAAATTATTTTGATTTATTTTAACAATTTTTTATTAATTTTTTTATTAATTTTATTTATCGTTAATTCATAATTGCATTAGAATAAATCAAAATATATTAATTAGTACTGCAGTCTTATGTCTGAACGAGATTTTTCATCAGAGGAAATACTGAATCCCAAACTGGGATATCTTATCTACCTTATTAGTAGAGGTGAGCGTTTAAACGAAAAGCACTTAAAAAAAACTGCTTTTTTCAAATAAGCGCATAAGCACGCTTTTCATTTTAAGCGTAAGCGTTGGTCACTGGTCAGTTCTATAGATACTCAACAATTTCATTTTTTACAACGTACCTTAATTTCAAGTAGCGCACTCTATGTTTCCTAAACAAATTAATTCAACATAACGTTGCAAGCTTTTTTAAACATAAAGTCTATGCGCTTAAACGTTTTTCTAAACGACTTTTTAAGCATCAAACAAAAAAGCGTTTAAGTGAAAAGCGCTTTTAGAATTACAAGCACGGTTTTTAAACGTACGTTTTAACGTTAAAAAAAATAAGCAGTTTTTTCCATTTCAACTGTTAATAATAACTACGAAAGTTAAACAACTTATGTTTTTAAACGACAATGAACAAAATGTTAATATAATAATGTTATGTCATAAATAAAAATATAACTCTTTTTTTACAAAAAAAACTTACTTATCTTAAAACCTTTAGTGGCCTAGTCTTGCGTTTCGCTATCAACACAACGTTGCAAGCTTTTTTTAACGTAAAAGTCTACGCGCTTAAACGTTTTCAAACTAAAAAGCGTTCAAGTGAAAAAGCGTTTAAATAAGCACGCTTTTTTAAAAAAGTATAACGTTTAAACATTTAAAAAAATAAGCAGTTTTTCCCATCTCTACTTATAAGTATTAAAACTGTTCGTCGTTCGGTACACGCTAAGGCGTCTAAACCATACTGCCAGAACTTAGATTTAAATTTTTCATAAATAATTTCATTTAAAGGCAAAGACGTCTTCAGTACGTGATATACTATACTCCCACATAATTCGAGCCACCTTACGTTTTCAATATTAAGTGCCCTTAGCTTAAACAATGCTTGATTGATCAAAAACTATTATGCAACTTTGAAATTGGTATACTAATCGTCATTTAAGTCCTTATTGAAAATTTGAATTTAAAAAACCGGAGAAACCTTTTTCTTCGATGCTAACTATATTTTTTATTCTCGCCCTTTAAGGAGATAAATGCAAGGTGGCTCGAATTATGTGTGCGGGAGTGTATATGGCAATTTGTCAAATATTGAGTTAACTTGTGTTTGTAGAGTGAGAATGTCCTTTTTAAGTTCTTACTTATGTAAACCGTCTATTTATTGCAACGACAGATAATAAAGAGTATTAACATTGACCTACTCAATGAGTATTAACGACTGATGCATTTTTTTAAATTCTCAACTGTAATTAGGTTTAGATACTAGCAATTTTAGTCTAATAATTTAGACTTATAATCTATCGAAATAAAATAATGTTAATATTTAAATAATGTGGTACAACAAAACTCTTGAAATGATAGTCATTTTCACAGACAGTTGCTCATAATAATGTCAGTTATTGACAGAATTGTCGTCGTAACGGTAAACCAGTGGCGGATGACGACTGTAGAGTCAACGGAGCTTGCTATCGTAACAAAATTAATTCATTCCGGAACCAAGGACAATGTAGGACTCTATTTGTTTTTTATTTATATTTACATAACTTTATTTCCTCCAGACAACGACCGTACGCGTCAACATAAAGTGTCTATATATAAAGTGACTCGTATAATTTTACTTTTTAATTAATTAAAACCTAAATATAGGGCCAACACGGACCCACGAATATGAACTTTTTATCTGATTAATAGGGTACTAAATGTTTTTCACGACAGAAACTAGTGAAATCAACACCACGTGATTAAACAATAAGGTTTAAAGATATTAGGAACTTAATTTATTATAACGTACGGCACGGGTTGACACTCGAACACTAATTACCAACTTAATACGACCTCCGTGGTCGAGTAGCTTGCACGCCGGTTCTCTTAGGTCCCGGGTGCGATCCCAAGCCGGGTCAATGTAGAAAACTATTTTTCTATATTGTCTCGGGTCTGGGTGTTTGTGGTACAGTCGTTGTTTCCGATTCCATAACACTTTAGTTGTTTTAGTTACTTATTTTAGATTCAGAGCAGTGTGATGTCACGTAATATTTATTTATTTAACTTATTTTTGTTAACATGGTTTGAATTGCTTGAAAACTAGAGATGTAGCGGCTGCAAAGGCGGCCGAAATACTACACTTTTTAAATTTGTTGAGGCTTTGACACATAGGCCTTCAATTCAAAGATTTACAGGTGAAAGGTTTCGTTTATTTGTACTAAAGATAATGCTACGAGCCCGTTCTTCACCTGTGCCCGATAAAACGGTGACTCTATGTTTAAATTGCGATAGGAATGTTTGAGAGCGAGGAAATTATAATAAACATGTACCTAAGTACTTAACTACTTAGGTATGTAAACTATCCTATGTATGTGTTAGATTAGTTTATAACATATTGTTGTTATTATTTTATGGCTAGTATGGATTACGTAAATAGGGTAACTAGTTTTCCGTCCAATATACTCATTACACATAAAACTAGGCATATCAAAGAAATGAAAATTCATCATCTTCAAGTCGTTTTAAAAAGATTCTATTTTACTAGTTAATACTAATATTTTAATAAACATTTATATTCTTTACACCAAGTTTACACCCCTCAAATATTTATATTTTAGTGCACTATAAACAAGAATCCTTTCGACTATTATTAAGACAAAAAAAAATTTTTTTTTTTTCAAGTTGTATCAAACAAGTTGGCAAGTAATAAGCCGTCGTTACTTAAAATGCGCACACGGATACAAAGATTTTTAAACATAAAATTTTAACCCTAACATCTATTTATATTTTGGAAACTTGTAAATTTATAAAAAAGTACCATAATTTTACACTAAATTGAGAAATGAGCCCCGACGCCATTCAACAGGATAAGGAAATAATCTAGTAGTACCGATATCAAAATTAAAGTGCTTAAATCGAGCACATACGCAATGTCAATGAAAATATACAACAAACTGCCCGAGAAACAAGAAAATAAAGCAAATAAATTCATTAATAACTTAAAAAACCCTTACTAATACAAGCTACTGTACACTACAACAATATCAACGTTTCTATAACGTTGAGCAGCCTCAACTTGCGTAATATAAGGGCTGTAGCTATGTAAATATGATGCAATAAATAAATGAATTCAATTTGTTTTACATTGTAGAATTACGACATTTAACAGAATGTTAACGAACTGAAATTTACGAAAAGTTCTAGAAACAAAAACATATGTTTGGGCGTCTCCTCTGTTGTGTAACCGCGTTGCAATAAATTCAAAATTTAGGAATGTACCTCTTAGTAATTTTAATCAAAATTACGACGGGCTCTACTCTAGTCTCTTTCGGTAGCAGATCCCATAAAGCTAACACATAATACAAAGCTAAAACAAAATTGGCCGAATTGCGTGTCCGACACTCTCGCGGGACGTTTTTCTATCGTTTTCTATTGCTTGGTTTACTAGTGCAAACGCGTGTAGGCAACAAAACTATTAATCGAAAGCGCGCCAAAGCAATGTTCGATGATAGTTAACAGAAAATGATAGAAGAAGGGCTAGTGAAGTAATTTATGAAAGGAAAATATAAATTTGTTGCCTTAGAATTAGCGTTTAACATGTCAATGTTAACAGACTAAAAAAATTAGATGCTACCAACCAACAGCGACCGGGGCGGTTAGTTACTTTAAAATTAAAGTTTTGGGAAGACATTTATAGTAAACCAAAAATGAATTAAAATGCGCTACACGTCATGAGATGATTATTACTGGCATTTAAATTGCCAATTAAAACGAATATAATATGATGGGCACATAGTGTTTTTAATGCACAAGGAGTTAAATATTGGCAATTGAAACCAATAATTTGATATGCACATACACATGTTACAATAACATTTCAGTTAAAATAATTTTGGGTAATTTAAGTGGTTTACTTACATCAATCTTTGGTATACTTGTCATCGTATTGTTAATAATTGCGTCTCAAAAGGTACAACAATTATAAAAAAGTATCAAAGTAAAGAACTTGATTATCATTTGCAACGTGTTCAAGTTTTTAATTGGAATAAATCCTTTATTTTATTATCTACACACAATTATATTCACTAATAGGTAACGATACTACATAAAATAAGGATTTTTAACTACTTTGATAAAATTTCATAGAACATAGTTCATATTTTAAGCCTTGCAGATTAATTAATTAATATTGTTAATTTACCTTTTATACAGACAATGATCATCGTCTTAATCAGTACATTTAAAATTATCACTTTGCGAAATGGAAAATAAAATAAGGTTTTTACTTTAATTTCAATAAAATAGAGTGTCAGTAAAAATAATACGAAAGCATTTGAATAAGTAAACGTATAAATCCAGAATTAAAAATGACGAGTTTACGAGAAACCCGGTTTCAAAGACGTCAAATAATAATGTGCTATTTTTATTCTTGAAGATATTCTTAATTCTAATCACTCGGAACCTGTACACGGTAAGAAACATAATCGCTACCAGACCGGCAACTGACAAGCCCACTTGGTCACACTTCATCACTATGACCGGCATCTCCCAGATGATTAGCGGTATCACACGCGATTCTTCAAGGTCGACATTCGTTTGTTGATAATGATAGCGGGAAAAGTTTACATTTCTTATATTGGCTACTAACCTGGTTGCTGTGGAGGAAGTAGCGGCGGAATCGCCTGTGGTGGAGGAGCCGATGGGGGCGGTGGCGCGTACGGTGACACTCCGGGAGATCCAGGCACTGAATCGCAGCTGGCAGACCCGAGCGACCGAGGCGGTGGTGGCGGAACCACGGGGCTACGCGGAGCCTTCACCGTCGGTGGGTCCGGTCGGTCCAGCTCCACTCCCGGTGGTTGTAGGCCGGACTCCAACGCACGCGCACGCGCCTCGTCCTGCGCCTGGGCACGGCGCAGCGCCGTCTGCAGTGCCATCACTCTTTGTCTATCAGCCGTGAGACGGCATTTTTCGCAGGTGCAGTATCGGTATTTGCAGTAACGTTTGTGGCCCTTCAGCTCAATCTTAAGTCGGTGGTTGCGGCACCGGGCGCAGTTGGGGGGCGCACGCGGGACGTTGGAGCTGGAGGCGCCGGGCTCGGAGCGCTCCTCGCAGTCATCCACGGCGCGGCGCCTCCACGTGCCCACGGACACCATGGTGGGCCAGTGGCTGTCACCGAGATCGCGGAGAGTGCGCGGACGGACGGACGCACGATAAGCACGACGCACGGTCACTATGCGACTGGCTGCATGCCCCGCCGTCGAGGGCGCCCCGCCTCCCGCCGCCTCCCGCGCACCTCACACCGCCCCGTTGCACTTCACTACATGTGCAATGTGCTCTACGCGTCAATTTGTCTTAGCACCAAATTCTTGTCTCTTGACATAGAACAGACTATGCACTCAATGCATCAAGAGTCAATGCAAACATTGTATAGACACTTTTATCAGAGTTAATTATCTTATCATACATTTAGCGGGTCACCTTGCACCTCTGTCGCGGCAAACTCTTGATAAAGTTTTATTATTATATTTCGGGTGCAGATACAAACGACCCATTTAACTTGCGTATCACGATCTTGGAAAGCTATGTGGTACCATTTGTAAGATGACACTGGATCCCTACACTGAACGGAATGAGCCTCATTGTAAATGCACTATCGTGATAGCGTGTTGCAATAACCCACCACAACGCAACGCAACGCGGACATGTGCGAAACCAAGATTACGTTTGTGTATGTATGTGTGCAATGTTGCCAGCTGACAATGTTCTCCCTGCAACAGATATATTTTTCGTTTTCTATTTTATCAGTCAGAATATTTCTCATTATTGTATTTTCTGTCTCGATACACACAAATTGTACAATCAAGAACTCGTTTAGCTTCTATACTTTGCAAAGTTCTTATCGTAAATGGTGAGGAGTTTAATTTAAATATTATGTAAAATAGACTATTTGGAAAAGTGTACAACAGTGGACATGCACTTCAATATAACGCACATGAAACCAAATACTGTCGTAACTCAAAACTGTGGAATTGAGAAAACACTATTTGAAAATTTAATAAAAATACTAAATGTATCTTATTGCGAATTATACGTAATATTAGTTGTTCATTTATAAGCGAGTACTTTCAAATAGTGTTTTCTCAATTCCACCGTTTTGAATCAGGGTTGTTGCTGATGCAGGTTTTTACACATGATTTTTTTACCTAAACACCAACGGATGCTGATGCGGATGCTGATTTTAGGTATTTAAAAAAGCACGAAAAATATATCTGCATAAAAGAATTCTGTTTTCTTTGTTATTGTAATAACCTATTATTGTAATAATTTTGTGACGTTTGTTAACAAAATAATCAATCTATATGAAAACAACCAATCTGCTTAGCTTAATCGTTGTGGAATTTCATCAAAACACAACTGAGCTGCTTTTTCGGCCTACTGTTTGTTTCTGGAACGTTTGTAAATTATTCCAGTATAACACGTATAACACGGATGCTGACGCAGATGCGAATATTTTAATTTACGATTATCCGTGAATGAGGATTCGGATGCTGATATTAGCAACGACCCTATTCTGAATTATGACAGTATTTGGTTTCATATCCGCTAAAATGACTAATTCCAATAAGACTCCATCTTTATTCTTGTTCAATTAAATCTTATTTGTTACTTATAGGTAAGTACTATCTTCATATAAGTCTAAATTAAAAAACTACCCAATGTTCTGTCATCTATCTGTAGACCTCGTATGTCGGTATATAGCGTAATACCACTATGTACCTAAAAACACCGTATAATGCCTTAGCTAGACAAGTAGAATTACTCCACTTGACTTTGTGACACGCCATTATATTCCGCCATTATGTCAAAACCATCAGTCACTTGATATTAATTAAAGCCAATTATTTCACATGTTTTACGTGTATTGGTGAAGTGTTGTTCTGTAGAGAACACATCAAAACCCTACTTATTTCTGTTGCAATGCAACATGAATGTGTTCTGTATTAAAGGGTAGGGAAAGGCAGTGTAAACACAGGTAAGGTAAAGTCTGCAGTCTTATAATATGTTAAAGTTAAACATACTTCTTTAGTTTGGTAACTGCCCCTGTAGCAGAACGATTAACATGCTTGTCAGCCACGCAGTGGTCCCGGGTTCGATTCTTGGGCCATGAAAAATATTTGTATTTATATTGTGTGCGAGTGAGTGTGTGTGTACGGGTGTACTTGTGTTTGTGTGTCTGTGTGTCGGTGTGTCTGTGTGTCTGTGTGTCTGTGTGGCAGTCTGTCTGTGTGGCTGTGGGTCTGTGTGTCTGTGTGTCTGCGTGTCTGCGCGTGTGTGTGTCTGTGTGTCTGTGTGTCTGTGTGTCTGTGTATCTGTGTGTCTGTGTGTCTGTGTGTCTGTGGGGCTATAAGGGTGTGGAAAACAAATTGTGTGAAATTTACATTACCCAATGTTAGAGAGACGGTTACAAACATTGTAGTTAGAAACGAAAAATTGAATCTTGTGGATACAGTTGTATTTCTAGGTATAACGTTAGATGCTAAATTGCAATGGGGGTCCCCATATAAGTAAGTTATCAAAACGGCTCGGCTCTGCAGTGTACGCGATTAAAAAAATAAGGAAATTTTCAGACGTCGAGACAGCTAGATTGGTTTACTTCAGCTACTTTCACAGTCTAATGACATACGGCATTTTGCTTTGGGGTAATGCCGCCAATATCAATAGAATCTTTGTCCTGCAGAAACGTGCAGTTAGGGCAATTTACAATCTGGGCCCCAGAGTACCTTTGAGAGATAAGTTTAAGGAAATTAACATTCTTACACTAGCCTCATAGTACATTTATGAAAATGTAATTTATGTTAAAAGGAATAGTAATTTCTTTATGAAAAATAGTGACAGACATAACATTAATACGAGGAATAGAAATAATCTAGCTTTTCTTGATAGTCGTCTTTACAAAGTCAAAAAATCATTTAAGGGGTAATGTATACGCTTCTATAACAAGATTCCGGTTGATATACAAAATTTGCCTTTCACGAGGTTTAAAACTATAGTGAAACAAAAACTTTGTACTAAAGGTTATTATACAACTTCTGCGTACTTGGATGACAATAATCTCTGATGTTTCAAATAAAAAAAAAATATTGTAAATGTTATTTACAAAGAGCAATCCCTAGAGTTTCTTGCTCATTCTTCTCAGGGGAATCTGCCTTATGAATGAGCGGTAGAGTTTAACCAATGTGACGATTTCAATTGTAATAATGCTTACCTATGAAATAAAGATTATTTTGAATTTGAATTGAATTTGAATTTGTGTGCGTTATCGGTATTTATGTACTAGCGTAAAGTTTGGTTACTACTACTACAACTTTCAATCAAAGTTAACCGTTTCAATAATATAAATTAAAATAAATATTATGAACCTATGACAAGCTGTAACAATACCATAATATAGAAACGTAGAGATCATTTCTAGTTATACTACTATATGTACGCAGAGCCTATAATTCAAGATATTACAGCAAATATTTTATTTATTTAGGGTTTTAGTGGATATATAACTCGATACGTAACAGTCGCTATGCACACAATTAAGTACTTCAGTTATATTAGCTGGATAAATATTGTCATATTTAAAAGCAATACGCTGGCAACACAAAATGCGGTGCGTGTGCACGGACTGGCGCATCGCGTGTCTTTGTAAAACTTTGCTTGTAGGAGTGACTACGACGTCACGATTTTTAAATCATGGATTTTAATTTAGGCAAAGCCTTGGCTTCAACTTTTTGACATATGTTAATTTGATGTTTCGGACCAAGATGAATTTTATTTCTAAACGGCCCGCCATTTTTCTTTTATAATTTATTCGATGCTAAAGTTATGAACCGACAGCAAAATACGCTTTTAGAAAACCAGTCAAAAGCGAGTATGAGATGCCGAAGTTGTTCCACACCTTTACTCTAAAATAAGTTGTTCATGATGCTTTAGTATCATTTAAAAATACTTGTACATATTTATTTTTATTCGCAGTGACGCATTTTTATCTCACTCGTAACATTACATAATATAAGGCACGTACCTAAATAAGTACGTAAAACGTGTAGAGTATTTTTTGCCAAAGCAAATTAAATAGTTTAAATCTGTATAAATTTAATGTACTAGTAAGTAGGTACAGTTTGTTAATTGTACTTGAAGTAGATATCGAAAGTATGTTTTCTTACGAGTATCTATACAATCATAATCATTAAAAATATATTTAAAAAGCACAACTAATATCAACGCGCACCGCCATTGTACATTATACAGCATAGCAAAAATACCAGTACCGTATCTTGTGGTACCCAACACAACATTTCAGAAAAAAAATGTAATATGGGACTAGATATCTGCAAGTGGAGTCATAAGTTCGAGAGGGTATCATATCTTTTTTTTTCGTTAGACGGGACTCCTCTCAGACGGGGGTTTTATTAGGCCTTAGTCCGCCACGCTACCGCTGGCCCAATGGCGATTGGGTTTTCACACGTTTTCAGAGGGCTGTGAACCTTCTTCGACGTGCAAGTTTCAACACGATGTTTTCCTTCATCGAAAAGCTCATGGCAAATTTCAAATCAAATTTTGCACATAAGTTTAGGGAAATTCACGTGGGATTCTAGCAGCAGTAGAGCTCCTTGTGAAAGAATTTGTCCGGGGAAGCACTGCCACCTTACCTGTAAGTGCCGCCATGCAGTAATGTGAGTATTACTGCATTCCAATTTTGAAGGTTAAGGGTGCTGGCGATATGGCGGCACATGGGACTTATCAACTTATGTCTCAGGGTGACAGGGGCAGTGGCAGTGCCCCCAGATCTACCGCTGCCACCGCCGATGAAGTTTCGTAATGTATTGGAAAACATTACAGCTCATTGTTACGTTACAATGCATTGAAACATGTTTTGTATTATACCTGTACTATGTAATAAATAAAAAATCTACAAAGAGTTTTTGGTATGATACATAGCTCTTTTC